GCAGGAGTTTTGCGCTGATTGGGGGCGGTATCGCTGGCGCTCGGGGGGACCGCAATCCGACACTGACGTTCTTCGATAAGTCCCTAATGTAATAACTACGATGGTTCCCCATGGCTGTCTACAAACGAAACTCGAATATGCAGTTACCATTTTTTTTTTTTTTTATAAAAGACTTTAAATTTGATAACCAAGCTCACTTTGCTTACCCGCCCATTTTGTTCCCCGATGTTAATAAGAAAGCGGGTAAGTGGCAACGGACTTAGGAAAACATTAGGCAGATAATCGTAGCCCGTTGCGTACTGACTTCAACGCATAATTGAAAAGAAATTGACGGCTGTATTCTAGTTTTTCTATATATTATTAAATGATGTAGTTAGCTCACAAGAGGTATAATTACTTCCTAAGCGCCTCACAAGATTAGGCACCAGAACATCCCTGGGTCGACCAATTTGAGATTGTTGGCAATGTTAGACATGTTCCTAATGCAATAGCTAGGATGGTTCCCCCTGGGTGTCCACAAAATAAACCAGATTAGGCAGTTACTATTTTTAAACAAGTTTATATATGAGAACCCAGTTCACCTTGCTTACTTGCCAATTTTTCATTTTGATGAATTAGTGGAGACTGGGTCGGAGAAAACTAAAAACATCAACCGTGGACAGAAAGAGGTATCTCTCATACACGGTTAATAATTTTAGTTGTTTCGTCACAGTCTCGGACAATCCATCCAAATTGTTAATATACACACCAGCTGACCTGCGCACTTACAGTAATTTCTATCAATTTTGTTCTCTGATGCTTACAAGAGAAGGCGAGTAAACAGCGAAAGACATGAGGGCAATGAGGCAGATAATCATAGCCCGTATTGCACACTGACTTGAACGCATACTTGAAAAGAGATTTACACTGACGGCTGCAGTCTAGTTCTTTTTTTATATTATTAAACTGATGTAGTTAACCTACAACAGGCATAATTACTTTCCAAGGAACTCTAAAACATCAAACCCGGACATTCCTCTGTCAACCAATAAGAGTGTGTTGGCAATGTTAGATGTAAATTGAAAGCAACATTAAGAGGACGAGGACAAGGCACGTCACAAAGGCCAGTAACTAAAAATTCATGACTGAAATTTAAAATTAAATAATCGCTTCTTACAGAGAGAGAGTGAAGGAATATTGACGATTCTGTCCTGGCACACAAACTCAAGATATATCAAGTTTCATTGTACCTAAACAGCAAACAAAACAAATAGTGACGCAAATTTTTTTATTAGTTGTGAACCGGAACAGTGTTTGAAATTATCATTCTGCGGTCACATAAAAATATGTTTAAAAAAGGGGACGCTTTACAACGCAAATGCAAGTTGATTGGAGATCCCTCCCTTCACTAATAAAATTAAAAGTGGGTTGCACGTACACGAATTACGATTCTACCGCTTTGACGACAGCGTCAGATGCGCGCAAACACAGCAAGGTTATTTTTTAAATATTATTTTGTTGTTGGACTCGCTCAAAATAAAAGCGGCGGCCTTATTGACGTACCATTTCGGTTTTTTATTAAAACTTGACCCAGTGTTGCAATCAGCCTGCACGTGCCTTGTCATTAACTTCATTCAGATGAATTAGAAAAGGCGCGGTATGCTTCCAGCAGCCGGTAACCTGAGTTTTAGGAGTGTATGCGACAGCGCAGCTGTGCGCAAAAAGTCAATTTAAACAATATAGCATCCTCATCTTTTTCCGAATAACCCTGACTTTGAAGAGCTTACAAAACCATAAAGAAAAAAAGAGTATTTATCTCGAGGCGGATGTTACCGCCGACACTGTCTTGCACTTGCGAGACAGCTTCGCAAACGACAAATATTCCTCTGCCTGGGTTATTTCCTCCACCCCGGAGACCTGACATACAGGCAACCTTTCTTTGCGGAGGTTCGCCTCCCTAAAAATTATCAAAGTTTTTTAATGGTCAGAAAGCTTCAACGCGGTGCCCGCCATTGCAATTGGCAGCGCGATGGGACGAGCGAACGGCTAGGTAGGGCGAATAGACCGATCTCACGAGGAGTTGCGCGACGCCACCGCTGCCGCGGTGCATCCTGGTACCTGTAGTTCTCCCCAGTTTTCCGGCCGCGTCGGCGCGCATTGTACGCCCGGCGTTTGGGAATTTCGGGTTAGCACGAGACTTTTAGCCAGGTGTTGACTCATGGTTTTCAATCGGTGGCTTCAGATGTTATATGCCACGGAGCTATAATAACAGCACCAGGCAAAAAGGCCTCGGATATTATGTCTTCCCGCAAGAAAGAAGCATGGCAAAGAAAGGTCGACAGAACCGGATAGAGCGGCAGGAAAAATAGCATTTTACGATTTGTTTCGCGATTTGCTTCATAATTTATATCCAATTATTGCACGTCAGCTAAAATATGTAAGATTACAGGGCACGAGACAGAGCGTGCCGAAGTGCTCCGTACGCTAGAATTTCTCTGACCATCTGCTCCGTAGCGGCCTATTCGTTGGTCTATTTCAAATAGGACCTCCGCACTGCTTTGCGGAGGCCTTTTTAATACACTTCTTACTCGGTATATTTTGGTGGTTATAACTAGGGTGTGTACTTTCCGGTGTTTATTTATGAGAAAAATCGGCGGACGTTTTTCGGTGTTTATTTATTTTCAAAACACGGTGTATCTCGGTGGAACGTGTCACGACTAGGCTAAAATCGGTGATTATCGGTGGAAAAAAATTATATTGATCACAGACAGAGTGTTCCAATTTTATTCACATATTTCATACATTTCTTCTCTAGGAAGCATCTATTTCTTACACTTGGTTATTATAGTGGATGCAAGCATACTTCGAGAGGCTTGCATCCGTCATGGCAGCACGTTCCTTGCAGTTCACAACCCGCAATTATGAAAGCGCACGCTCCTGTACGACACGGACGTTGGCAGTGTCTTCCAGGAACCACAACAACCTCTGAATACATGGCTTGCACCGACATAACTTGGCCAGACACAATGGGGAAAGGGCACGTGAGAGCCTACCCTCCACTGCGTTAAGTTTTTCACAGAAGGGGGCCATGAGAGACACAATAGGGGAAAGGCGTGTGAGTGCTTCGCTTCCACTGCGTTAACAAGACGCTTTTGACCCCCAGAAAGGAGGGCGGATTGATGCCATGTGCAAGCCATGTATAAACACTGGAAGAATGCAGGATCCACGACATAACACGTTTGACGAATCTCTATGGGGAAAGGGTTTCGCTAGGTCGGAAACAGGCAACGACCGGTGTTTTTCGGTTTTAACCAGGGCGAAAATATCCAACCACCGGTGTTTTTCGGTTTTAACCGATTTCATATTTTCGTCACCGACGGATGTTTATCGGTGTTTTTCGGTTAAAACCGGAAAATACACACCCTAGTTACAACTCTTTGGGACGACATGTTTCAGGCACAACTGTACTTCAAAAGATCCGTGCAATCACTAAAAAAGGGCAGCGATTCCCGATATGCACCACTTGATATAAAACAACTTTTTTTCGGAAGCAGCCTTCAATTCTTTTTTTCCAGACCAACGCGAAAAGATTACATCATGCAATTTAGAAGTGCAACACGTACTTACCGCCAAAAATGTAACAAACGAACCTTATGCATGTATTTTGTGGTGGTCTATTAGGGGCTGGTGTTACTGATCCATTCTGCACTAGCATTAGTCGAGACCGCAGAAACAAGCTTCCCCCGTCGGGCGACTGTTAGCGTTCGGATCTTGCGCAAACAAAATAAAACTGAATAGAAACTCTGCACGAAAAATCATCTCCACCCCAAACTTTCAGGTATCTGGCATGGTTGCTTCTTTTTGATAGATGCCAATTATTACGGCGCGTCAGGCATGGCCTTTCTGTAGATCAGTTCTTTGTGTGCAGGCTTCTCCCGCTGTTCATTTGTACTCTGTCGCACAGGCTGTCAACCAGAATTAAACAACTTTTAGAAAACTATCGCTGACCAAGAAAGTCTATTTAGCTCCTCTTACTTGATGGCTGATTAAACGTTATGCACAAGACTGAGCACCACCAAGCTCAGTTTTTCATCACATTTGATGCTGTTCCGTGGTGCTACACCGAGCCGATGGTCCCTCGAATTTTCTTGTTTTTTGCTATTGCACTAGATGTTCACTTGTTTGCAAGGTAATTGAGACGTCCGAGAAGTCAGAATGCTCAAGTAGTGGCGCCGTTTTTTTTTTTTTTTTTTTTTTTTTTTTGTGCAGCCGCAGTGGGATTACCCTGTGAACGGCAGTGGGCTCACGCGTTCACGAAGACGAAGAAGCAGACGACGACGAAGCAGACGACAAAGCGATTCTAAAGCGATAAGACGACTGAAACTGCTTTTCTGCAGTTGCTGAGTAAAGTAAGGCATAACAAACAACACAATCTTACGAAGTAAAAACATGCAAGAGAATCAAGGGGATACCGGGGCGTGCCAAATGATAATCTATGATGATGTACGTACGCGCAGCCGCACGTAGCCGGGAAGCCCGGAAGGGATGACTACAAGTAGCATGGCGAATGCACCACTTCCGGAATGCGCGCGCCTGCGCAGTTCGCTGGTGACATCGGTCTATTTGGGCCACGGCCCGGCGCCACTGGTATCGCTCCAGCGCGCCCCCTGGCCCAGCCGAACGGTCCAATAAACCCTTTTGCCGAGAGCGAAGTATTGCTGTGTAATGTTCATCAGGAAACAGGGTCAGGGGGAATCTCAGTTAGATGCCCGCAAACAGCAACAACTGAATTGACTGCCGATCGATTGAAGGTTTTCGGGGGTTGGGTACGTTTTGTGTTTATTTATTTATTTATTTACAATACTGAAAGCCCTTTCGGGCTGTTTCAGGAGTGTACAGCAATAAAACAACAGAAATACAGAACCAAATTTCAAGAACAAGCTGTTAGCAACTGGAGTTTCAGGGGGAGGGTTTAACATCTATGTGCAAATAAAACATTTGTAGAGGAAATTTCCACTTACTACACATGGCGTTCCGTCGGTACGGTTCTTGACCACTCCATCACAATTTACGGAACATGTGGCGGAAAGAAATACCTGTAATTATACCAACCCATTTGATTTAAATGTGTATATAAAAATATCTCAGGCGCTCAGAAATGCCACACTACAGGTAATCTCAATAGTCTTAAACAGCTCAAAAGTAAGGGCAAAATGTTCGTCTAAAATATGGACAACTACTTAAAACACAAACTCCGTTAAAATCATTCAACCCCAATTTAAAAAAGTGAAAGCCGTTTACAACTCCCTGTAACACCGAATTAGAGCGCAGCTCTTGAGGAGGAAGAGGGAAGGGTACTGGAGGGTGAAGCGACCTGGGGGGGGGGGGGTCACGTGACCTTGGAGGTCACGTGACCTTGGGGGTCACGTGACCTCGGGGGATCACGTGACGATGCCGATGATGTCATCAGTGACGTCACTGATGACGTCATCCGTCATGATGACGATGACGATGCCGGTGAGGTCATCAGTGACGTCACTGATGACGTCATCAGTGACGATGACGATGCGGATGTCGGTGACGTCATCAGTGACGTCACTGATGACGTAATCTGTGACGATGACGATGCGGATGCCGGTGACGTCATCAGTGACGTAACTGATGACGTCATCAGTGATGATGACGATGACGATGCGGATGCCGGTGAGGTCACCAGTGACGTCACTGATGACGTCATCAGTGATGATGACGATGACGATGCGGATGCCGGTGACGTCATCAGTGACGATGACGTCATCGGGGAGGTCACGTGACTTCGGGGGGAGGGGGTCACGTGACCTCTGGGGGTCACGTGACCTTGGGGGGTCGCGTGACCTTGGGGTGACCTTGGTTACGCCGACGCCGCTCAAGCCGGGAACGGGCCCCTAAGAACTGCGCTCTAAAAATGCATAGGACATCACGATAGCCTCCTCTATAATCACAAAGCCTGGCAGTTCGGCGACGGAGCCACAGAGCGCCCGGACGCAGATTTGGAGCGCGAGGGTCTGGTAGCACGGAGTAGCGCACGGAACCGTGCCAGACCGAAAGCCCGAGCCCGGCCCGGCCCGCGGGCGGGGCTCGGGCCGGGTAGTAAGCATTTTCTCAGGCCCAGGCCGGGCTCGGGCTTAAACAAAATATTTTTTCCGGCCGTGGCGGCCCGGGCCGGCCCGGGTCCTGGCTGGGCAGTCGTGTGCTGCAAATTCTAAATTGTTGATAACAAAAAGTGTGCTCATTCTTCCTTTAGGTTCAACTAAAACACTGCGGCGCAGTTAAGAAAGAAAAAAAGAAAAGAAAAAGGTGTCTTGTTGTTGAAACGTTTTTGCCTGGATAAAATGGAAACGTATGGATGCCATCAGCATAGTGCGAAAGCGCGGTCAAGAAAACGAGGGCGCTCCAGTTGCAGGGTATACAACATGGGTGTCTTTTTTCTCTGCCTTCCAAACTAAAAAGGAAAAAAAAACGAAAAACAACGTGAGCTTGAATTTGGACTCTGCGCAGGGGGCCTTACAATGCCACCAAAACTAAGTTAACTACCATAAATAATTGTATGCTTACACAGCCTTTTGAAGATTCACTATACTTCGTTTCACCTTAGGTCCGAGCGCGGCCGATGTTATGAGCCGAAGGGCCAATCTTACAGCGCAAAAAGCGCAGCGTCACGGTGTGCTCTCTGCTCTTGATAGGACTAGCCGGTGGGGGAGCACGCACAGAGAGACGGCAAATACCGGCTGGTCCTATCAACTGCAGAGAGCACGACATGACGTTGTGTCTCTATCGCTGTTTGACTGGCCTTTCGGCTCATAACATCGGCCACGCTCGGATCGAAGTTGAAACTTGGTATAGTGTGATTATGATTGTTTCTTTACAAGAACATGTAGAGAGGAAAATTCTCTGTGAAACGAACTGAACAACGAAAAGCCCAATATCTCTTCAAGAAATCCATAAATAAAATATTTCCCACTTTTTTTTCCTCAAAATCACTTATGAAGCGCATTTCTCGCCCATATTCTCGAAAATACATCGTCGAAGTCGGGATATTAATCGTGTCAAAAAGTCGGTCCAAGTTTAAAAGAAAATTAAATGAAATATGCTCGCTTCATGCTTGGACAGTTTTTTTAGGTTAAAGCCTGCAAAGTTTTTTGGGCTCACGTATTTGATCTGTCGGGCTGGGTGACCGAGCTCAGGCTTATATTTTAAAAAAAAGTTTTGTCCGGCTCAGGCCGGGTTCAAGCTTCTCTCTAAAAATGCTGTCGGGCCCGGGCCGGGCCCGGGCATTGTCTCTTCTAGGCCGGGCCGGGACGGGCCTATAAATTAAATATTCTATGGGGCTCGGCCCAGGCCCGGGCCGTGTCTCTACCAGGCCGGGTCGGGTCGGGCCTAGGAATTCCGACCCGTGCAGTGCTCTAGCACAGAGGATTTCTCGGGGAAGCCGGTAGTGAGCGCACAGCTTTTCGCTGTGGCGAGAACGAGCGAGGAACACGAGGAGCACGAGCGGACATTCCATCGCTCGGGAGAAGTGTGTTTCGGCGTCTAGTCGCAGCGGGGCGCCCGTTACATGACCCTCCTCTCATCCGTTGTTCTGCCGCTCTACCTTTTCACTTTCGGCTGCCGCGTCTCATGGCGATCTGCCAGGATTTGTCAGTATAGAGACGGCTATGGCATCACCCATATGTGTTAAGGATATCTTTAAACTTCCTGTTTCTATTTCTACGTCCATGTTAATGTGAAAGTATTACTATGTGTTGAAGATAGCTACACCGAGCAGCAAAGATGTTCGGTGCGTCTCGCTCGTGTGCATATACACTGGCCTGGCGCCCCGCGCCCAGAACGTATTTCGGCTCTGAACTAATTGCCATGTGCCCTTTCTCGTACCAATGCCCTTTCTCGTACCAATTTACCGTGTCGCCGTGTTCCCTGGCGCAATGAACAACACTATGTTCACAGGTTTCAGCATCTGATAACTACCGCTAAACTCCTTTCACAGCTAATCTGGCAGGGCGGTTGAAGTTACAAGCTCGCTGGACAAGCTAATCGTTGTTCTTGCGCAAAGGCAGACGACTGATCGGCTCGCGAGCTCATAGTTTTCACGCCGTCTGCTTAGCGCTGAAGAGAGGTTTGTATTATATTTGAAAAAAAGAGTTTTTGCGCGATTTTGAGTAAGCTTTGGTCAAAATGTTGTTCGGCATGATCTGATCAAGAGCACGTGCAAAATTCAATAAGTGTGATTATTGAGTTAGTTTGATAAGTATGTTCAGTGTTAAAACCCACATCTTATCAAAACTTAACATTTTTCTCACCGGCAAAGACACTTTGGAGATGGGTCCAAAGGCTAGCGTTTGTATAAGGAGGAAGGACTAACTCAGACCGAAAGGTGGACTGATCAGGCTTCTTAAAACGGCACGTAACCCTTAAAAATGCGTATTTTTTAGTATACACGTTTCCCTTTCTTCAATATCTTTTTTTTCTTTTGTTTCAATAATACAACATATGCACTGCGGGACACAGTTAGTCCGAACAGGGTATTGGTGTTTTGGGTTTGCGTGTTTCATTCTTATATTTTGTTTAGACAGGTTATTACTGAACATCGATTTTCGCCCTTCAAGCCAGTGTCCCAGATAAGCAGATTCCACCAGAATCTTTAGTGACTGCGTATTGTTTGTAAGCGGAAGGCGAAAAACTGACCATCGCATCTCCTTTTGTTATTTGTACAGAATTGCTCTTTTTGTAATACATGCAAGTGAAATGCATTTTTTTTCACACGTGGTGACTGAAACACCTGTGCAACTTATGTTAACTTTTTTTTTGTTATTATAAAGTTGCATATTTAATCGGGCAATGCACAAACAAATAAATCTGAAAACTTGTAGATTTCATAATTTATTTGCACCAAAGCAAGTGTTTTTCACTGTATTTTAGCCATATATTGTGAGCACTTTTTTGATCCGCATAAAACAATTTACTGTACAAACGACCATTTGGGGAGAGTTTCCGCTATGCGAATTTATACACCACAAACATTTAACAAAATAAAAAGCTACTAAATATTTCATTTTTTGTTCTAGTTATAAAAACAAATATTACACCTTCTGTATGGCAGTGGATGAATTCGCACAACTGCGTGTCCAAGACGTATGTTTGTCATCTGTTCGATAAATTTAGAAGAAACATGTATACATTCCATGTCACTATAATATTTAAGTTTTTTTATTATTATTAACGCACCGCTGGTTTTTTTTTTCACTTTTACGCATTACCCTCTAGGATGTATTGCTACAGTAAATGGTGTTGTCATTATGAGCACAATTTACTTACATTCTCATCCTTATCCTGGAGATTAATGAAGCGGCAATTTAATTTCCATGGTATTTTGTCTTGAGCTATGAAGTTGTTAAAACATTACATAAATTGGCATTGTAACAAAACAACTATTGTAGTCGGAGGCAAATTTCTGTGTCATTTCCAAAGAGGCAAGTGTGAGTGAAGAGCTTGAATCGTAAGTAAGCGCACGCGCTCCTTTAACTTTTGGCCACAGAAAGTTGCCCCCAAACATAAAAGGTATATTTGCTTATTGTTCAGAGAGCAATACTTTTGCTGGGCGTCGTTTTGTAAATGAACACAAAAACCCTATAGCATCTTTTGCCAAGGTATACTGCAGCAATTTATATATTTGATGAACTGAGTAAGACAACACTTTTCATACACGCAGAATCTATTGTCACGTATCTTCACACCCTCTTGGAAGGCCAGGATAAGTGTTTTCATGATTCAGTCAATTGTATAAATGTCACTAAATCTGCTCTGTATTAGTTTCTCGCATTCATACAAACTTCTAAGTTACGAGGATATCTGAAGCCACGAGCTCAAATTGACAAGATACTTCGTCTGCCTCTTTTTTTTTACAGCGGATTTGTTAAGGGCTAGGTTCCCCAGGATCGTGTCCGGTATGGGCGGGGATCGGTGGCCGAGTGGGCTAAAGCGCACACCCAGCTCGACGCGCGTGGAGCGATAGCTCGCGCTGCAGAACCCAGGGATCCTGGGTTCGAGCCTCACCCCTGCCCGTTTCGATCTGGATGAGCATCGTACCGGCGTGCGGTCGTGTATCACTACTGCGTGGTGCACGTTAAAGACCCCAGGCTAGCGGCTGTACCGCACTGGCTAAATTGCTCATCTACAGTGGGTAACAATGTCGCCATGTTCTGGCAGACTAAACTCCTGCTGTATAAACAACTAACGACTAATTTGTTTTTTGTCCGGTATGTCGACACAAACCTACATGGACAGCTACCGCCATCTATAAGCGACGGCGGCAAGCCCACAACCAGTATGGTTGACGCCGTCCCTGGTAGATGGCACCAACCTTTCCAGCTATCGTAGAAGAATGGATAGTTGGGTGGCGCGTTTGTGGGGAATTCATCGTAGGAAACAGCGCGAAAAACATGCGACGACGAAGAAGCACACGTAACCAGCGCAGCGCTCGTCACGTGTGTTTCTTCGTCCTCGTCTGTTTTGCGCGCTGTTTCCTACGCTCTTATCAGTTTTGGTTTTGACTCAGGATGGGTCAGCCCCGTACGCTTTCGGGGAAGAAGACTGGCTGCGGAAGGAGCGGCGACGTACGCAGCAGCGCAAATGGGTCCGTAACCACCGCAAAGCCGCTGTTTCTCGACTTCCACTGCGTCGAGCGCTTCAGATTCCCTTGCCAAAGAAGAGCACATCGCTCGCCTGGAAAGCCGCCGCCGAGAACAGAACCAGCGATGTAAAGGGCGCCGGCGGGCCAACGCCACGGACGACGATCATGCCACGGAGGCCAAGCGCAAGCGCGAGGCCCGGCGACGACTGTGTAGGAGCCCACAACAATAGCCGCAGCACGGAGCTCGGGTCACGAGCTCCGTGACGCGGGTCACGCGAAAATAAAAACGTGCGGTCAGTTCGAGCTAGAACACCGTGGAGCTCGGACGTCTTTTCTAAAAACTGGTGACCCGGAATCCGAAGGCCCCCGCCGCCTCGTACCACGACCGCAGCCAGCATGCAGAACCTGGCGCAAGACGGTGACACTACCGGCGACGGCGCGCCTCTTCGTTCCCCCGACACTGCTCTCACGGTCATCCAGCTCCGGCTTCCGCCATTTTGGCCGAAAAACCCACGAGTCCGGATAACCCAGATCCAGGCTCAGTTTCATCTTCACCGCATAACATCCCAGCTGTCTCGGTTCTACTATGTCGTCGCCTCCCTCCCTCCAACCGTCGCCGACGAGCTGGACGACATTCTGTCCCGGCCTCCACCTGACGACGCTTACGACCACCTGAAGGGCGTCCTCCTCGAGCGGACGACAGCTTCGGAGCGCACGAGGGTCCAGCAGCTGCTCACAGCCCAGGGGCTGGGAGACCGCCGCCCATCTCAACTTCTTCACCAGATGCGGCAGTTGCTAGGTATCCAAGCCTCCGGCTCCCAGGACCCTATTCTGTGAGAGCTATTTCTCCAGAAACTTCCACAAGGAATACGCATGGTTCTGGCAGCTGCGGACGACATGCCGCTAGACCGCCTGGTAATGCTTGCGGACCGCACCGCTGAGTACATTTCACCGTCCATCGCGACAATCACATCGCACAAACCGCCTGCCTGGTAAACAGCCGTCACAAGACTCGATCGAGGCGCGCATGGAACAGCTATTCTGCGCTGTTGCCGCTGTGAGGCCTTCGCACGAGACACCTTCCCGACGAACGAGGCGAGATATGTCTCAAACCCGTTCATCCTCGCGACGCACCTCACGGTCAGCCGACAGATCGCTCTGCTGGTACCACAGGCGCTATGCAGAACGTGTCACACGATGCCAACAACCATGTTCCTGGTCGGAAAACCCCACGGCCCGTCACTAACAGCGGCAAGTGACTACGGCCAACACCCGAGCCGCTTGTTCTACGTCATGGATAAGATCTCTGGCCAACGCTTTTTGGTGGACACGGGGGCCGAGGTTAGCGTCCTGCCAGCGTCACGACTAGACCGTCAGCAGACGCAGCACACCAGACCCCTACGAGCAGTCAACAGCTCTGCCATCGCCACCTATGGACAGAGATCCCTCAACATCGACATCGGACTGCGACGACTCTTCCGCTGGGTCTTCATTTTTGCAGACCTTCGCGAGGCCATACTGGGAGAGGACTTCTTGGCGAACTTTGGCCTGGCCGTTAACATGCGTGGCAGAAGCCTCACGGATGCTACGACATCGTACACCATTCAAGGTATTCTTTCGTCATTTCAAGCTTCTCCGATGCGCCATTTGGCGGCGTCTTCAAGATATGAAGCGATCCTCGCAGAATACCCTGCCATAACCCGACCGTGCAACACGGAGGTACCCGCCAAGCACGCCGTGACCCACCACATCATTACCAACGGCCCTCCAGTCTCTGCGAGACCTCGTCGACTCTTCGGCGACCGACTTAACATCGCACGCAGAGAATTCGAACATATACTGGAGCTTGGCATCATCCGCCCCTCCTCCAGCAATTGGGCGTCGCCTCTTCACATGGTCCCTAAGAAGGATCCAAACGACTGGAGGCCATGCGGAGATTATCGCGCCTTGAATGCGTGCACGGTACCTGACCGGTACCCCTTGCCACACATTCACGATTTCTCCGCTGGCCTAGCTGGCACCAACATCTACAGCAAGGTAGATCTTATTAAGGCCTACCACCAGATTCCAGTCGAGCCAGCGGATGTGCCTAAAACCGCCATCACAACTCCGTTCGGACTTTTTGAGTACGTTCGGATGCCCTTCGGCCTCCGAAACTCCGCGCAGACTTTCCAACGCCTTATAAACGAAGTCACCAGAGACCTTCACTTCATCTTCGCTTATTTTGATGATATTCTCGTGGCTAGCTCCTCTCCGGAAGAACACGAGCAACATCTGCGACTTTTGTTCGACCGGCTGCAGGAGTATGGCCTCGTCATCAACGCGAAGAAGTGCTTTTTCGGTGCCGACGCGCTGGACTTTCTCGGCCACCACATAACATCGTCGGGCATCCTACCACTCCAAGAAAAAGTCCGGGCAATACGCGAGTTCCCTCAACCTACCTCGCTTTGAAAGCTTCGCGAATTTCTCGGGCTAGTAAATTTCCACTGTAGATTTATTCCGCACTGTGCCGAAATTCTACAGCCTATGACGGACCTGTTGAAGACCAAGAAAGCGCCATCATCGTCACTTAAATGGACCGATGAACTTGCATCAGCTTTTTCCGCCGTGAAGGAAGCCTTGGTCAACGCAACCCTGCTGGTCCATCCACAAACTGAGGCTTCTACACACTAAAAATTTCAACACCCATGTTCGTGTTAAAAGGGTGTTTTTCCGAGCTCACACCCTTCCTACACCATTTTTACATGATTTTTCAATATTCAAGGGTGTACGGAAAGGCCTACACCCTTCGTACATCCTTTTTACACCCTACGGCTACCGAAATCGTGTTAAGAGGGTGTTGCGGTGGTACACCCATGATTGGGTGTACCACCGCAACCGCCGCCGCCGAATTGCAGACATACGCGCCGACAGCAGAAGTCAAGAAGCAGCCTGCTCAATTTAGAGGATTTCGTGAAGTTCAAGTAAGCACAATGGGCAGCTGACGTCCAAGCCAAGCCAACGCTCAAGTTGTTTTCAAGCCAGATGAATGCCGGCGTTGTGTACAAGCTCCTTGGTTGTTTACGTGCAAGCGACCACGAAAATAGCATCGGTTACTCACGCACTTCTGCTCAGAATGGTGAGACCACATCGGTTCTATTATGATACATTCCTTCTCATCCTGAGATGTACTAAAGCGAAGGCTAGACGTGCGAGACGGTTCGGGCTCACAGCTTTACTGTGAGCCTGTACCGTAAAGGTCGGTTCCGACACTTGCGTTTGAGTGTCTTTGTCTGCGTTGCGTTTAGAAGCGAAAACGAGTCACCGGCACATCTGTGCTTCGTATGAAGCGTGGATTCCAATTAAGAGAATCATCTTGGCACGCGATATAAGCAGCAGGGATGTCCTGGTTTCTCGCAGCCGCAACGCGGTCAAACGGAACTGTTTGAACCAGGCTTTACGTGGTTGTCCTTTGCTTGTCCCTCGCGCTTTATTCTTTCGATTTTAAGTATTCATTTCCAACTCGCTCGCTTTTACCAGTACTAGTAGATACTCAAGCTGCACGAGGGTTCGTGCAGTGCGACCATCTAGCGATGCTATGAGCTTGTGCTCGAGCCTTGGCTTTAATGCATCTTAGTGGGGAAGGCAATCATCGGGGATATATGACGCACGATGATGCCAAGTCTGTTCACGGCGGGCTTTCGTGCTGTTCTGATTGGAGGAGAAGGGGCGTGTAAAAAATTGGCAAATGGAACATGGTTAGCGACAGCG